TGTGTGAAGCTTACAAAGAAAGGAGAGATTGCTGTGGACTGGAGCTACTGGTATGACTGGAGTGACCGAACTGGGCTGTGCTGGAAGGGAGCGCACAGTTGAGTTTACCAGATAGTTTAACTCATGAGATTTATGCAAATGGCTGGCAGTTTAGCCAACAGTGTCATTTCATCTGGACATTGAGACATTGAGAGTACCCAGAGAAGCCAACACCGCCTCTCATGTCTGAATCCTGCCAAACTCCTGTGGTTCTTTTGTCAGAGGAGAAGAAGTGTGGCTTTCTCTGGAGCCACCTTTCACAATAACAAGGCTTGTGTAAAGATTCCCCATTTTCTAGATTCAGTGAACCTAATGAGAACTTGAAATTCATCCCACCAGTGTTTCAGCTGTAGTAAGTTCATTGGCAAGAGTTTTTGTTTTTTTTTTTTTTTTCTTTTCTTTTCTTTTCTTTTCTCTTTGAAAAAAAAAATCCTGGAAATGGTGAAAGACACATTGTCATGACAGAGGCTGATAATAATAGTAAAATCTGAGAATTCTGGAGGTGAGATCTCAAGGGAAAAAAACCATTCAGTATTAAATTCATACTTCTTTGCTTAGACCTGAAAGGTTGCAAATTTATTTAGCATATCTGTCTCCTTTTTCTCTTCCCTTCTTCCTTGCTGTCCATACTTATCTAGTCATGCTCTGTGTCTTTCATGAATACCATTCCAACCAGACCACATTTCTTCTCATTATCCTTTGAACATTTGCCATTCTTTTCCAACTTTCTTCAAGTTATTTTTCATACATAAAATGAGTCCATACAGTCTGGTAAAGTTAATAAGAATTGATTTTTTTTCTTAAAAATGGGATGCAGTACTTGAAAGTGAAAACTTCAGTCACTGCCCTTAAAAATATGAAAGGTTATGAATAATACAGACTTGGAAGTCCCATATTTGACTTCATATATATACATATACGCATATACGTGTGTGTGTGTGTGTGTGTGTGTGTGTGTGTGTGTGTGTGTGTGTGTATTCTTCAGATCCTTTGTCATATATAAAATGGGTCTGCTTATTTGGAGACCCAGAATAATTTTTCAAGGGATCCAATGCCAGAATAGCAATAAAGTATCCAGTATCAAGACCAAATGGAGTTAGAGGATCAAATATTAGCAAAGTAGAAGATGGAGGTAGGATGGGTCGAAATTTGAGGACTGCTGAAAATGAGCAACATTATGCTTAGGTACCAGGGGCTCCTTGGGTGGCTCAGTCGTTTAAGCATCGAGTTTGGCTCAGGTTATAATATTGCAGTCCATGGGTTTGAGCCCTGCATCAGGCTCTGTGCTGACTCAGAGCCTGGAGCCTGCTTTGGATTCTGCGTCACCCTTTCTCCCTGCCCCTCCCCAACTCACGCTCTGTCCCTTTCTCCTTCAAAAATAAATAAACATTAAAAAAATTAATGCTTAGGTACCAAGTGTGGAACTTCTGCCTCTTCTTCCTGGTTTCTGGCATTGATGGAGAGGAAAGAATAGCATGGAACCTTTTACTTTTCTTTAAAGTCTATATAAACATTACCAAAAGTTTATTTTAAAGGAATATATGAATTAAGAAAATTGATTACAATGCCGTTTTCTATTACATGTATAGAATAAACTGAAGGAAAAACTATTTCCCATAGTAAAAAAAAATCAAAGAAGATATATTTGGTTTAAACAGTAATTAATTTGCATGCTAGCCCCTTTTCCTCATGGCCACATTATAGAGAAGCTACCCTGTCATTGTCAAGAAAAAATAGTAAAAATGGTGCAGTGAACTGACCCAAAACACTTGGTTATACACAACTTTTAGATTCTTTCTGGTAAATAATGAAAGATACCAAGAAGCTTGAAGTGTGAGGATAATTATAGTAAATTGTCAGATTAAGTCCCTCCTGCTGTACACACACACTTCTCAACTTAATATTTAGTAACAAGTAAGCACAAAATAATTTATGAACTGGTTATATACTTGAAGAAATTCCAGCTGTCTGTTTTTTAGGTGTCTCAGTCACACTCTCGTATAAAAAGTTTACTTTTGGCAAATGTAAGGGAGGAGTGATGAGGCGGGAATGATGATTTCTTCTGATATCAGATGACTACAGTTGTCCAGAGTTCACAACTGGACACAGAACCACTTAAAAATTTACCACGGGTATCATCTCCAAGATTAAACAGACCTCAGTGGATTATATCTACTTCATAAAGTGGTGGGGAGTACCTCTCTCAAATATTTTAGTCAATTTGTGTTTCTGGAATACATTTAAATTCACTCATGAGAGCCCATATGCCATATTCATCCTTCTTGTTTTCATGCTTTGTGTTCATCAGGAGATCCACATTTTTGTCATTCAGTATATTAATAAACTATTATTTATATACAAATGGCCATTTATATACAGAAAGGCCTCTCTTAGCTCCCTCAAGAGTATGGTCTTTACTATTACAGTCAGAGAAAGACAAATACCATATGACCTCACTCATATGAGGACTTTAAGACACATAGGGACATAGGGAAAGGAAACAAAAATAATATAAAAACAAGGAGGGAGCAAAACATAAGAGAGTCTTAAATATGGAGAACAAACAGAGGGTTGCTGGAGGGGTTGTGGTGGGGGGGATGGGCTACATGGGTAAAGGACATTGAGGAATCTACTCCTGAAATCCGTGTTGCACTATATGCTAACTAACTTGGATGTAAATTTAAAAAATAAGTTAATAAAACAAAACAAAAAAAAAGAATCCCACAGTCTGCTCCTGGGCTGTGCATCTTTGAGTAGATGTTAACAGCATCAGGGTTATAATTCACTCTGACTAACAACACACATTTAATTTCATTGTATTTAAAGTAAGTTCTAAACTTTATAACATAGTATAACCATATTGCATATAAAATAACCTTTTGGGTACCAATAGTTTAAGTCATTATTGGGAGTTTTGATTTGAATGTCAGAACTTTTTGATAACTTAATTTTTTAAATTTTACCTTAACATTTTAACTTAAACAAATTTAATATTATTACCTTCTGGATGTACAACATGTCATTAAATGCAGTCTTTTTTCATGTCAACAGTTGAAATATCGACAATTGAAATAACTCTGACACTCTTACTAGATTTGTTCATAGGCAAGTCTGTACTTTGTTAATTGCTTACGTAACTGAGTAAATTCTATGTAAGAACAAACTGGGGATGAAATCAGGGAACCAGGTATCTTCCATACTTATCCCACAGCCTAATAAATTAGTGAAGTCATTCAGCTTGAATGTATTCAGAGAAACACCCTTTGTTATCTACTCTGCTCTACTAACACATTTGTAGGGATTAGTAAAATAAAGTAAGAGTAATCTAGTGGAAATTCTGTGCCCTAATAACTTAAACAGCTTTGCAAAGTAAAGTATGCTTTGATTGGTAATCAGTATTTTAATATTTATCAAGGAATACTTTATCCACTAGGGAGAAATATTTTTTAGTTGTCTTACAATAAAATATCAACTCAAAGGTTGTGTGAGTTCAAGTTACTTAACCTGTCTAAAGCTGTGGTTTCTTTATAAGTAAGATGAAGGTAATAATATTAAGTTCCTCTCAAGGTTAAAGATTAATAATATATGTTAAACCCATAATGAAGTGTCTATCACATGTGTTCTAACAAATGGTAGGCATTTTAAGAAGAAAGACAAAAGACTTCGAAGAGAGTGGTCAACAGTGTTCAAGTAATTTCAGGACTCTTAAAGCATGGGTTACACCAAGTGATAACTCAAAATACAGACTTTTCTTCTAGAATGTGATACATGTGTGCCTGATAAACCACTCACTCTGCAGAACTGTGCACTAAAAATAAGCTTATGGGGAAAATGAGCTTATGGAGGAAATTAAGTTTAGGCAGACCACTCAAAATCTATGCAGCTTTACATTGTTGTTATTAGTTCTCTGGTTACAATCCTAATGGAAATATTAACTCTCCTAACTTTCTACCAACATTTGGACCCAACGTCACAATCACCTAACCATTTTGCATCACATTTCCCCTCAAATTGAGGAGATGGCAGTTACTGAGTGCATTTGATTCCAGTACTTTTCATCAAAATTGAACATCTGACTTAAACTACAGAGAAAAACATGTTCACAGCTTCTTTCTTGAACAGAAAGCTGAAGTGTTGCAAAGTGTAGGGTTCTTGACTCCACTAAACTAGCATGTCAACATGCTAGAAAAAAATCGTATGATGTAGCAAGATACCCAAAGTCTAAATTATATTTATATTGTTCATTATTTACCAATGGCAAAGGGGTTCTTTTATATAAATATATAATATAGAGGAATATACTGTGTATTAGATGAAAGAATTCTGAACTTCCCTAAAGCTCGTTGGAGCTAAGTTGTTTATAGGGAGTAAGGAATATAAATCATACATGTTTCTTTTATTGCTTCTGTTTCAGGTGTATCAAGCACTTTTAGGGATAGTTTAATGGGTTAGCTGCAGTAGAGAAATTTGTTAGAGTTTTCATACATTTCTCCTGTACGTATTCCCCACAGTTGGCTAGAGAGTATGAAATTATCTCTGGACCACTAGCAGAAGTCCCCATTCCTCTTAATAATTACTGTTTAATATCAATTTGCTTTATCCTGTTCCTATAGCTGTATTTTCCCCCAAGAAAATACACCTCTAAAAGGTGCCTCTAAGGCACTTCTGTCTCATTCTAGCTCTGAGAGATCAAACCGCCTATGATGTATTTGGGAACGTTGTTGTGTGAGATAGGCAGAAACCATTTTGATCAAGTTATTCCATGTGTACAATATACTTTACATTTTACATGAAAGTATTACAATCTAGCTGGCTTACTTTACTAACTATTCATGAATTAATAGAAATGCAGTTATGCTAAATTTTAATTGTATCACTTCCTATCAGTGCTAAAGCAGCGAGTTCTTACAAATCAGATGCATAATTTTGGTGGGTCATGTTTTTATATTGTTTTATTTTAGCTACTTCTGGAGGAGATGATTCCATTATTTCAAGTCCTGATGTCACTGATATTGCACCAAGTAGAAAGAGGAGGCAGAGGATGCAAAAAAATCTTGGAACAGAACCTAAAATGACTTCTCAGGTGATTCAGCCTCCAGAAAAGGAAAAGTAAGTTTATTTGTTTTTTTGCTTATGCCAAATTATGAGATATTATTTTAAAATCTAATACCTGATCTCAGGAATTATCTTTTTATTTCTGAATTTATTTAAGGCTGTTTTTAAAGAACAAAAATTGTTATTTTGGAAATTGTCAAATGTTCAAATCAATATCTTTTCTCTGGTATTTGGTTAATTCCTATAAATATTTAAAACAGAAGTGCTAAAAATATAAGTAAAATGGTTTTTCTTGTGATTTTTATAAATTAATTAGAAATAGCATGTAGACACCAAAAATATTAGAATCCATCTTGAGTTCAGTAAAGTATTTCAATCTGATTTACTGATTTAAGTAGACCCATGTAGCGTTCGAATTAGCTACCTGATTTGATCATGCTTGGAATTTTTACAGTGAAATGTCTCTTCCTAGTCCACAGCTATTGGGAATTATGTGCTTTATTTTTACAGATTTTCACTCTTTGGTTCAGATACCCTCTTTTGATCTGCATCCCAATTTAGTTGTAGTGAATTGAGGAGTTGGGATAATTAACATTTTATTGCAACAAAACAGTCAGCATTTATAAAGACTATTTATCAGTTGAATCCCAAATGAATGTGCAAATCGTGTGTGTGTGTGTGTGTTTGTGTATGTGTGTATGCCATGAGAATTTCTTTCTTTTCCTTTAAATTTTTTATTAATTAAGCAAATAGTTAATGAACAGTAGCCATATAACAAATGATATTACAGATCAATGGTTTCACAGTGTGGAATTAGGACCCCCAGGACAGTCCACAAGCTCCATCTCTTCTTCAGTTCCATACCTGTGTGAGGCCAGTCTCTTTCATATATTTCATTTAAAATAATATATCACATCTGATTAAATGCAGCAGCTTATGAGAATCCAACTCTTTTCATTCAAGCCAGACATGAAACAGATTTACAAAAGTGTAAACATAGTCCTCATGAGATTTTTTTGTTGAAATATAATGATCTTTCCTAAAGAATATCATATCATGTTATTATATACTAGGTTTATTCTTTTTTTAATGAATTAATAAAGATTTATAAATTTCCTGGTTTTTAATTTTGAATATGATTAATATACTCAATATAAAAACACCTCTTGAGGTCCTCAAGAACTTTCAAAAGTAAAAAAGACTTTTTTTTTTTACATTTTAAATTTTTTTGCTTCTGAGAGCAAAAAGTTTTTAGGATTTTGTTGTAGACAATGAAGATGCCAAGACAGGTACAATCCAAGCCCTCAGGAAATGACAGCCTAACAGGAGAGAGTTGAGTTTATGGTATGAAAGTAAGCATTGTTCAGTTAATAGTGAAATTGTTTTGTTTGTCTATTTATCATTGGGTTTCTATTCTCTCCACAATTGGCCTGATGTACAGGTACTCGAAAATGCCATTATGTCTTTATGCCCTTATGTCTTCAGACAATACATATAAAAACAATATACACTAAACTCTTATTGATTTGTACTTAGCATCTGAATTTATTCATTACTCGTAAACATCTGGCTTCATAGAGTTCAAAGGGATCATATCTCTTATTTAATATCTATCTATTTATCATAAACATCTGGCTTCATAGAGTTCAAAGGTATCATATTATCTCTTTTATTTAATATCTATCTATCTATCTATCTATCTATCTATCTATCTATTTATTGGAGAGAATGAGAGAGAGAATCAGCCGGCTGTGAGGGGCAGAAGGAGAAGGAGAGGAAGAATCTTAAGCAGACTCTATACTCATTGTGGAGCCCAGTGTGACACTTGATTTCACAATTGTGAGATCATGACCTGAGCTGAAATCAAGAGTTGGACACTTAACCAACTGAGCTACCCAGGCACTTCTGTATTATCTTTTAAATAATGAACCAAAAATATTTCCAGTTTGCAAATATTAGAGTAGCAAAAATATACCTGTATATTAATATGGGAAAAAATAAGATTACAAGCCGTTTGAAGTATTCCAGAAACTCTGTACTTCATTCATTCGATCTGTAGGCAAATTAGCAATGAGTATCAATTGTGTGCTAGACAGAAACTAGATGTTGGGAATTCAAGAGAATGGAAGACAGACACGGCCCCTTTCCTCAGGGAACTTTTGGTGTAATTGTTTGGTCTGATGATGATGTCAGGGTCTAGGGAAAGAATGAAATGCATTGCTTTTATGTTAGAGAGCTACACCTTAGTTCTTTCCAATCTGTATATGAATGATATACAAGGTTTTGAGGTTACCAACATTTTCTGATTACACAATATTGCTTGAACAGATTTCCAATACACATGATACAGAGATGAAAGAAGTTTAGATCTGGGTCAAGACTAAATATTTTATTTAGGCTTTTTAATAAAGATAGTGTATTTTCTTCTATCAATTGTATGCAATTAATGTGTTCCTTTTCTATATTTTGATAATCATGTTAGCACTTATTGTGTTTATTTTCACTACTTTAAAAGTTGATATCAAGCCATATGAGCTTCTTTGAATTGTCTACTAATTATATTACTTTGGACCTTTTGGCTCAACTGACCCTAACAAGAAATGGAAAACATATGTTAGATGTCAGGAAGAATTTTAAAGATTAAAGGAAATTTAGTTTATCAGTCAAATGTTGAGTGGTTGATATCCTGCTCTACAATTCCTCTTGCTTTGCTCAAATAAACAGAGAGAGAAAGTATGTATTTTCCTTTATCCTTTGGGTTTTGTTTTTTCCATTTTGAATATAGAAGACTGAAATTCTATGGCTCCTAAAGTTTGAAGTGCTAGTTCTTTCCCAGTTTTTTTAAAATCAAAAACATTAGAAAGCTTCTATAAAACAAAAAAATAAAAACAAGCTCACAACTGTAAAGAAAACTTAAAATAAGTCGGTCTCAAATATTGATGGTTAACCCTTATTTTATATTTTTAAATTGAAACTACTACCTAAATTAAAATTATCACTTCATAATGCTATCTCATTCACTTATAAGGAACTAGGTTATTTTACTTTTTAACCATAAACACAACTTAAATATGATATGCAAGGAGCACATTCTGACTTTTTAATATTGCCATCCTAGTGAAATGGGATTAGAGACCCCAATCCAGTAATTCTAAGCATACCTCACTAACACAGACAGATCAAACCTAGGTCTCAGATTCACATAAAATGCCCTAAAACCACTCCCACTTGGGATGTAGCTTAAAAATTTGGATTATAATTCCAAAGATTCCAATCTAGAACCTTAAGGCTGGTGTTCTTCCCTCACTCTATTCTTGCAATCACAAAATTAATTGTGTATATTTCTGTCTCCTAATAGATTGTAAGCTCCTTCAGGCAGTGGACCAAGCATGGGCTTTGTAAGAAAATATTGGTTGTGCTGCTCTGGAAAAATAATTATATAAATCTTAGCCTGAGTTGTTTTTTATCCATAAGAAGGGTAAATTAATATCTACCTTGTAGGGTTTGTGTAAGATTTAATGAGAAATCACATATAAAACATTTATCACAATTCTTATATATTTTCTATCTCTCTCTTCTCTGATACCTTGCCACTATATACCAATAAAAGTATCACTTAAATGCTTAAATAAATGTAAAAATTACCATGATTTTGTGTTATATATTAGTATTAGTATAGATTAGTATATACACAGATTAACATACATTAGTATTTTTTTTTAGGAGTACAGAGTAACCCATGGTATTTAGAAATATACTAAAAATTTTACATTGTGAAATACTCATAAACACATAAATTTAAAAATAATTTTCTCATTCATAGACATCCTTTTTTTTAAACCTTACCTTTTTCATGAATTTTAGTTGTTAATACCTCATTAATGTGTAAATAATTTATTGCTAAATCATGTTTATGTTTTGGAAGTAGTACATAGGTCGAAGTATAATAAACTTGTAGATATTGGAAAAGTTTACATATCAAGTGGTGTGATCCTTTCAGTTTACAAGTGGAAAACTAAATTCCAGAAAGAGGAAATGATTTGCACAAACTCCAATAGACATAAAAAAAAATTAAATCAGAGCACCTATGATCATCCCTTCCTCCACTTTGTTTTTGAAATGAAGAGCTGGATAAACCAAGGGAAGCCCAAGAAAAAATGTGGAACAGGCCCACTTGGGACTATTTGAAGGGACTAGCGGCCCTAGAATTCTTCAAAGAGGGCTTAGGACACTAAGATGTTTAGAATTAGGGGTCACTATCTTTACAGCCCTTAGTAGTAAATACACCAATGTATATGTGAAGTTGTCAGAGAAAAAGGTGTTTAGAAAGTTAGGAAATTGTAACTTAGCTGCCTTTGATAAAAAATGCATTATTTTTCAACTGAGAGAAGTAAATCAACTTATAAATAAACCAGCAACTATAGTTAATAAAGCTGTTTGACCAATGGTGTTTTCTTTCAGTTAACTCTGCTAAAGTAGATATTGCCTGCTTATAAACCTATACTACATGGTAAAAGTACATGAAATATTTGGTTGTATTTCTCTTTAAGTGTATGTTTTAAGGACATTGAATAGAAGTAACTCTTAGATGACCATTATCAAGAGTTTTCAAAATTCTGAATACTTAACTAATTGTGTAGGTACAAAGATATTCTACTGTACTGTTTTTCTTTGTATTCTTTGCCATGCTTAATTAGAAAAAAATGAAACAGAGAATGAATGCATTATATAATTTTTTATACTTCCTAGTGAAAAATTGCACAGAAAGTTTGAATTTATAGGTTACATTACCACGGCATTAATCATTATATAGCATTAAGTTTATCTGGGAAGGTTGTTTTCAGTTCTAAGAATATGGTGGCTTTCTTTTTAAGTTGCTCACAATGTTGGGGCGCCTGCATGGCTTAGTCAGTTAAGCAGCCAACTGTGGCTGAGGTCATGATCTCATACCTTGTGGGTTTGAGCCCCGCGTCAGGCTCTGTGCTGACAGCTTGGAGCCGGGAGCCTGCTTCAGATTCTGTGTCTCCCTCTTTCTCTTTACCTCCCCTGTTCTC